TAATTTGGCATTTATTTGACGCTCTCGTGATATTTCCTGTTGTTTTTCACATGAAAATGACGGGACGTTTTTAGTTAGCAATTAATCGCAAGTAATAACTCATTTATAGCTTTTTATTTTTGCTGCACTTTTTAGCATTCATAACAATGCATTATAAGCGGCTATAAAATAAACTGTATGCAAAAATTCAATATTAAATAAAGTGTTATTGTAGCATAATTTTGATAAATTATAATGTTCAAATTTAATGATAAATTACTAGAAAATATTGAGATTTTTATTTTGAATATTTTTTACATAAATGATAAATAAAATGATTAAAATATTAATAGCAAATTTTAATAGATAATATTAACATACACAAATAATTAGTAAAACTACATGTTACAAATATTTGTTATAAAATTAAATATGCCAGTAATTAGTAGTGCATTGTTATGATTGCACGTTTATTAAGTAATGATTTAAGAATTTTAATTTAAATAAAAAATTATTATTATTTGCATTTTGTTTGTTAATATAACTATTGTTAACAACCTTAATTATGTTATTAACATTAAAATTTTATAATTAATTTATAAATTAAACATAATCTATTTCACACGTTTACCATAGCTTGTTTCAAATGAATGTATTAACTGACCAGTGATAAAATATTTGCCCTGAAAGACCATGGTTATTAAGTAATTTATTGCAACGTTTAGTTACAAAAACACGAGATTAACTATAAATTAATTATTATTCATTGTTGTCATTCAAATTAACTTGTAGGCCATACTGTAAAATATCTTATTGTTTAAAATATGATATTTACAAAAACTTATTTATAGCCAACTCATCATATATACAATAATCTACTGGACACAATAAGATTTAATACAATGATTGCAATTATCTAATATGTATTGTTAGAGCCTGTGTATTGGCATAACTAATGGGTTATTCATTCATTTTCTTCATTACATTTCAATCACTTTTCATTCAAATGAACACAACTTTTGTGTTGTTTTAGATGTCGTTTTCTTGCAAACTGTTTGCGACATTCACTCCAATCGCAAACATATCTCACGTTTAAATGAACATTATTTTGGTGTTGAATTAGATTTGACTTTTCAGCGAAATATTTGCCACAATTTTCTTCATTACATTTGAATTTTCTTTCATTCAAATGAACACTACTTTTGTGGTGATGTAGAGATCGTTTTCTAGTAAACTGTTTGCGACATTCACTCCAATCGCATACATATCTCACGTTTAAATGAACACTAGTTCTGTGCAAAAATAGACTAACTTTTGATGTATATACTTTATTACAATTATGAAAATCACATTTAAATTGTTTTGAATTTGAATGAATTAATTGATGTTCAGCTAAAATATCTTTTCTATGAGTCTTGAAGTGACATTTAGGCCAAAAACAGTGGAAATAGTGATAAGTGTTGAGTGTATTAATGGTGTTGTGATTGGAAAGCATTTTATNAACAGTGGAAATAGTGATAAGTGTTGAGTGTATTAATGGTGTTGTGATTGGAAAGCATTTTATCACTTATTTTACATGAATTCAAATCAATTGAATTGCAATTCATTGACAAATTCACTGCATTTTCGCATTCAATCCCTTCACACAAAACACTTGCATTTTGTGACAAAAAACACTGCATTTTGTGTAAATTGTTACACAAAGTTTGCAAATCGTTTAACACATCCAATAATTCACTAATTTTATAATATTAGACAAAATTTCATTTATTTGATGGCAAAACATCACAAACGACTGAAACAATATTTGAAAGATATATAGCATTTATTTCTAAAAGTAAACCAACGGTTGAAATGATATTTAAAACAAAACTGGTTTTCATTACATTTATTGCTATTCTTATAAACTACTGGTGCCCTAACCTATTATAAACCTAATTTTAGACCAACTCTTTAAATTAGTTTATTTGTGGAGAGAGAGAGAGAGAGAGAGAGAGAGAGAGAGAGAGAGAGTTATAAATTTATAAGGAATTTAAGAAATGCACATTTATTTGTAAAATAACACCTAGTTACAACATTTATATTCACTATCAAATAAATAAATCTCAAAACGCTAGGTACATTTAATATAACAGTAATACCTGTCCGGGGGATCAAACACTGAGACAAAGTGCGAGCACCGGGACTCCAGCACCCGGTCCTCTAACCGGCACTCTGTCCCCCACCGACCACTCCATCCGACAATCGCTACAAATATTTGTTATAAAATGAAATACGAGTATAATTATTAGTACCTTGTTCAGATTATTAAGTTTATTAAGTAATGAGTTAGAAATTTTAATTCAAATAAAAATTAACAAATATTTATTATGTACATTTTGATTGTTAATATGATTTTAGCAATTTTAAATATATTATTAAAATTAACATAGCGTAGTAAAATACAATAACCTCTCACAAGTAACATATAAATTAAATAATAATCTACCACACTCATTTACCATAGCTTTTCTCAAATGACTCTGCTAATTGAGAAACTTTAAAATATTGACCCCGATCACTATAATTGTCAGTACGGGCGCCAAATGCTTTATGCGTGTTCATATGTACATTCAAACGAGCTTGTTGTGTAAACTTTTTGTGACAATCATTGTAATGACAAACAAACGCCTTTTCACACGAATGTGCGCTCCGTTTGTGTTGATCTAGAGTTGACTTTAAGTCAAAACTTTTGCCGCAATTTTTTCGGTTACACTTGAATTGCTTTTCACACAAATGTGCGCTACGTTTGTGTCGATATAGAGATGACAATCGCGTGAACTGTTTGCCACATTCATTCCCATCGCACGTAAATCTTAATATTACATGAGTATTATTTTTGTGCAAGGTTAGTTGCGCACTGGTTTCATAGGACTTATCGCAGTCATCAATGGGACACTTGAATTGTTTAGCAGTTGTTGTGTTGAGTGTATGAATGGTGTTGTGATTGGAAAGCATTTTATCACTTATTTTACATGAATTCAAATCAATTGAATTGCAATTCATTGACAAATTCACTGCATTTTCGCATTCAATCCCTTCACACAAAACACTTGCATTTTGTGACAAAATACACTGCATTTTGTCTAAACTTTTAGACAAATCACGAATTTTACAAAATTTTCTTAATTCACACTTCATTTCAATCAACACTTCATTCATTTGTGAACACATTTTGTTTATCAAAAATAAAGCTTTTATTATTAAAACGGAAACAATTTGTTGGACTCTTTGTAGTGAGCATTGAGTTTATAAAGCAATTTAAAAAACAATTTAAATGTTTGTTTACATTCACCACAAATGTCTGATACAATGAGTTTAGTTGAGATATAATGAATGCAAATCATAGACCTTTTTATACACTGATGTTCACATATTATAATTGTATTCATTACTATAAAACACACTGAATGGGACATTTTATGTGCAACGTTTAGTGTATGTATAAAGGGCTTAAAAATATACAGTATAATAGAGTTGATGTGACCTTCTTGATATTTCTCGCTAAAAGTAGACCATTGGTTGAAATGGTATTCAAAATAAACCCGGTTTTCATGGCATTTATTGGTGACTACCGGTGCTAATATAATAACCAGTAGTACAAGTTACTTTATAATGGTATGATTAATAAATTTATAACTAAATTATTTCATTGTATACAATATAAGCAAGGTTGTTACTGAGAAATTAGTTAACTAAAAATTAATCATTTATTTTGGTGATTAAAATGTACTTGCACTACGCTGTACAATAAATAACAAATAAATATTTACAAAAAAAATTATTTATAGTCACCTGATCATATATTTTATAATCTACTGGACACAATAGATTTAATACAATGATTGCAATTAATGTTTTGTTAAATCATGTTTAATTGCCTAACATTTGCCACAATCACTATAATTGTATTAATGGTGTCTTTTCTTATGTTGAGTTAAACCAGCCTTTTGTGCAAAACTTTTGCGGCATTCAATGAAATCGCAAACAAATGGTTTTTCACCCGAATGTATGCGTTTATGTGAAATAAAGTATGATTTTGCGTAAAAACCTTTGCCACACTTTTCTTCATTACATTTGAAACGCTTTTCACTCAAATGAACACTACTTTTATGTCGATATAAATTTCGGTTTGTTGTCAACTGTTTGCGACATTCACTCCAATCGCATACATATTTCACGTTTAAATGAACACGTTTTTTGTGTTCATTTAATTCTGAATGTGTTTTGTAAACTTTATTACAATTATTGAAATCACATTTAAATCGTTTTGAATTTGTGTGTATTAATTGATGCTTATATAAATCAAATTTATATGATGTCTTGTACTGACATTTAGGCCAAAAGCAGTGGAAATAGTGATAAGTGTTGAGTGTATTAATGGTGTTGTGATTGGAAAGCATTTTATCACTTATTTTACATGAATTCAAATCAATTGA